GTGTGTGTGTGTGTGTGTGTGTTTGTGTGTGTGTGTGAGTGAGAGAGAGAGTGTGTGTGTGGGCGTAAGAATGGGTGTGTGTGCGTATATTAGTGTGTGGAGATGAGCGTGCGTACATCCACACGCTGGTGTGTGGGGGAAACGGCCAGAGCGTGGTTGGGCGTGGTAGTGGCATGACCCCTCCGTCCCCACAACCCCTTGATCAGCCAGGCCCCCCACCCCACCCCAGGGCGTCTCACCGGTTGAGGTACTCCTTCTGGCAGGTCGCCAGGTCCTTGCCGGTGGCGCGCGCCAGGATGGCTGCGGCGCGGGGCACGGCGCACGGCGCGGAGGAGGGGATTGAGGGGACGCGAGGGCGCCACGCCGGGGGTGCTGCTCACAGCGCAGGGCGCCGCTGCGCACACGCGTGGGACTGTGCTAACAGCGGCTGTCCCAAGAAAGCCACGACAGCCAAGAACCATAGCAAGCCATGGAAGTATTGACCACAATCGACCACAAAAGCCCCGAAGCTGTCGGCGGAGCCTGAGGTCGTGTGGCAGCACCAAAGGAGATGCACTAGGGAGAACCACCATCAATACCGCTGCAGAGAGCCCTTCCCGCCCCCAAAACCAACGCACCCGCGTAGTACTTTGTGGCGTAGTCGAGCTCGTTGGCCTGCAGCTGCGCGTCCACCGCCTGGCCAAACACGCGGTTCATGACGGGCGGCGCGGTGCTGATCTTGGAGTGGGGGAAGGAGTAGCGGTGGCCCTTGAGGCCGGCAGCCAGCAGCACGGCGGCCTGGGGGGGGGGGGGTTGCGGGGCGGTGCGGTGCAGCATTGAGTTGGTGAAGGCGCTGTTACAGGGGAGGCCCGTGCGTGCGGGGTGGATGACACTTGTGGTGAGGGTGAATTCAGGGCTGCGAGTGATTGCAACCAAGGCGCCCCAACCATGCCTACCGACCGAGCGGACCGAGCGCATATCTGTGCACATGCACCGCACACGCACGCGCACACACACATGCGAGAGCGCAGACGAGCACATGTAGTCACACACGTGCGCACTCTCTGCTTGAGTTCCTCCCCAACAGCCCCGTAAGCCCCAGCCCACCTGGTTCTGGGCCTTCCAGGTAACGCCCGTGTAGAGGGGGGCGCGCGTGAAGCCCAGGGCGGCCCAGATCGCATAGAACTCGTTGTCAGCCGAGATGGCCTGGAGGGATTGCGGGTTGACAAAATGATGGCCGGCTCTGAGGCGGCGGTTCATCGGGCGAGGTGGTGGCGGGGGCAAACGGCGGCCGCTAGGGCGGGGGCGCTTGATCTGGCCGGGCCAGACAACCGCGTTCGCAGGGACGACACAGCACACGCGCACCCTGCCGGCCTCGATAGGCGCGCTGGCATGTGACCACGGCCCTCACCCGCCTCCCCACCCCTCTTCCAAGCTCGTCCATTCACCTGCCCTTACGCCATCCTCCATAAACACACACACACACACACACACACACACACACACACACACACACACACACACTCACACACACACACACGCACGCG